AGAAACTTCCTTTCAGGTAATTGTAGCGAGCGAGAAGGTCCCCCCTGAGCCTCCTCTTCTCCAGACTGACCAGTCCCAGCTCCCTCAGCTGCTCCTCACAGGACAAGTTCTCTAAACCTTTCACTAGTTTTGTTGCCCTTCTCTGAACCCGCTCCAGCACCTCAATGTCCTTCTTGAAGTGAGGGGCCCAAAACTGGACACGACAACTGCAACTCTATGCCTAGTTACTTTAGCTGTTCTTCTTAGAGTCCTAAAAAGATCACTTGTTTTTAAAAGGCAATTTTACAGTGAAACTTTGAGTAAAAAAGTCTGTTTAACCAACTTCGTATGGTAGCATTAAAGAACATACCTGCTGGAACTGAACCTGGACTACAAAGAGAAGAAACAGTTCTAGGTGTGTTTGTGATACAACTGCAACAGCAATCTGGAAGCCCCTGGGATCAAAGTGGCTCCTTTAGCAACCTGTGTATGTAACAAGGTCTTGGAGCTTTACTCCAACCACCAGCAGTGTGGACTTGTGCCTTGTCCTACCCCTTGGCTGCTCAGTCAACAGCCTCTAGCCCAGAATCCTGATTTGGATGAGGAAAACATTTTGTCTACACCTCAGCAGTGTGAAACCTCCCAAGCTGCTGGGGCTGATGCCGTGTTTCCTGTGGTCCTCCTGCACTCTCAGGGTGCAACTGTGGTCTGCTACAGCCATTTCTAGTCTTTGAGAACAGCAGGCAAAGCTTAAGCAGCTCACCAGAGCTGAGCAAAGACACTGCTCTCTAAAGAACTGGACATGTAAAGGACTACACTGCAGATCTTGCTACCCAAGTACAACCAAAAATCTAACAGAGCTCATTCCAAGATGAGGAGGCAGCGTTACTACTGCAGCTCTTTCACCTTCTACTTCAGAAACACGTTTGGGAGAAACCCCAAAACACTGGACTCTGGAAGAGATTCTGACTTCTAAAGAGAGAGCGTACTGCCACACAGCAGGGAAATTCAGCCCTAGTGTTTCAGTGAGAAGCCTGAGGGTCTCTGAGGGAGACCCTGAGCAGCGTGGCTTACACGGTGCTATTTGAGCAAGTCCAATTCTGTAACCGGACGCTTGCTGTACGAATAAGATCGCCCAGAGTGTAGAGTTACCACCCATCTTTTCCTCTGTCAGGAGATTTCCATTTCAGTGTTCTTCTATGGTTACAACGGAAATCAGGAACTGTCCTGCAGACACCTGGACACGGGCTGACATAGGAATTTGCTAAGGAAAAGCCTCTACTGGGACTGTACACAGTGATCTTTGCATCATTAGAGTGAAAACATGGAAGGAAACGTCCTGCACGCATGCTTAAAGCCATCTCTCACCCATACCTGTTGAGTGCCATGGTAACAGTTGCTCCTTGTTGCATCTCCTGAGATGCTGCCACTGCTGCTTCTGCTAACGATGCCACCGCCTGCGTGGCCTCTGATGCCTGCGTCGTCTGGATAGTCATCTCCCCGCCCTGTAGCGTTGCCCAGTTCTGCTCCACCTATGGGGAAACACAAAAAGAAAGGCCCTCAAGTAGGATGTTATCCCATGAATGCACAGCTGCTTCCTAAAATGAAAGAGCCAGATAGTTTCAAGAGGTCTCTGCAGTGCTCTGACTCTAAGAGACAAGAAAAAAAGGGAGGAAGTCCGTGATCCACCTGAGAACACTGCTGGACCCCACAACCCTCTATCAGCCACAAGTGAGTTTCTCTAGTCAGACCGTTATTTTAGTTGCCGTTCTCCATGAGTTCAATTTTCAAACAAGAACTTCAGTTTTCTCACATGGGTCGGGGCAATCCCAAGCACAAGGACAGGCT